GAAAGCGAGGAAGGGCAAGGAAGTTAAGGAAGTTAAGGAAGTTGTAAGGAAAACCGATAAACAACCTGTATTCAAAAGAAAGGCAATTGGCGGTTTATCAACCAAGGCAAAAGACATTTTCAAAGGCAGGAAAAATTACGATGTTAAGTATATGCTGTTTTCTATTCACAATCGTTCGGGTGCAAAAGAAGCATCATTTATATTGGATGGTGTAGCGTATTATCCCTTAATTCTTCTTACCCGTGGGAACGCAAGTGTAGTAGGAAGTGCCAATGTTAGAGCAAATGAGTTCATTGAAACATTAGTTAAGAGGAGGATAAGACAATACCACGACACCGAAAAGTTCTTATTTAGAAAACTGATGATTACCATGAATTCAAGTAGCGAGTTTAAGGAGGCAACAGGACACCTGATAGAATACGCCGACGCCATTAGAATTGAAAGCGTTGAGATTGTTGAAACAGACACGGGCGGATACGACGAGAAAGAAGAACCATTACAACAAGGCAACAGCATAAGCACATATTACAGATACATCCAAACCGAAGTCAATGCCGAAGCGGAGACTATGAAAGAGGCACTAAACAAGCAAAATTACAGAGAAAACGAATGTTGGATAAATGCTTTACTGGAAAACTTTGAAGGAACTAACCTAACAAGAGAAAAACGACAACACAAGAACACAAAAACACTGACCCGCGATAAAGTCCTTGAGCTGCTGAGTATGACAGAAGATGAATTTATTAATACTGGGGCGACTATAAACCAAATGGATAAGGTCTTTAAATTCTTCAATATACCAGTTAGATTATACAACTTTACAGGTGCTCTGATTTATGAATACAACCCTGACAATTACGAGAAGGGGCGAGTAAAAATATTCAGAGGACTTGTTAAAAACAATCATATATATTTACTAAACCACGATTTAGAAACATTAATGCAAATTCAACCAAAGGATAAATACAATGCCTTTACAACAAGCAAGTTTTACATCACCGATAGAACAGAACCAATTGAATACAAAATGTTTGATAATGTAGATGAACTGCTGAATATGACCGATAAGGAAGAATATGCCCTGATACATTCCGATAATGATTTAGTCAAGGTCTTCCACCAACTCAACGAGGCAGGATACAAACCACACATTAACTATCAAGCGAGCGGATTACGAATATCTTATGTAAGTTTTATTACAAAAAATTGACGAAATACATTAAATACAACATTGTCTCACAGTGTTTATCACAGGAGCGAATTGATGAAGATGTAATCACCGATAATGAGCAAGTGTATAACAAAATCACTACAACCATGTTTAACTTACAAAAAGAGTTGTTTAAAGAAAATCATTTGTCCTATTATAACGAGGTAGATATACAGATCCTTAAAGAGTGTAAAACCATAGTTCCGGTTGGCAAGTTTTATAAAGATGTGCCGATGAAGAAGATAAAAGAAATAGATATTAACAAGGCGTTTACACACGCGGGTGGGAGTATAAAATACATCCCGAAATTTACACAGTTTGACATATTCAGACCCTATGATGAGGATTGTAGCACAGACCAGTTTAACAACCTGACATTATACATTGTAGAGGTGTATGAAGGAAACATCTTTTTCAATAAGAAGTATTGCTTAGTTTATGGCAAGTTTTTGTTCAGAAACTGCTGAAACACAACGTTAAGCTTTGAATACTATGGTATAAGCAACCGAGCAATATTTACAAGGTGGATTATAAAAAGTTGATAGATGAACTGTATGCAACAAAAATAACAGACGACGAAGACTTCAACAAGCAAACACAAAATAAATTATGGAACATCAGCGTCGGAATGTTGGAAAAATCCCATAACACCAGTCAGCGAAGTAGCACCTTTACTTCCTTGAAGGAGGCGTGTTATTATCAAAGCATTTACGGTGGAAAGGTCTATACAATAAGTGAGTGTCAGACACAACTTAACGAAGTGGATGAAGACGAGTATGAAACAAAGGAGACAGAAGGAACTAAATATTATGTGTTAAGTGTGTCCGAAAAGAAGACTTTAATAAATGGTTTTATGTATATCAAGGAGTTGTTATTACAATACCATAATTTTAAGATATATGAAGCATACAAGAAATTAGCCGATAATAACATTAAAGTGTATAGTGTTAAGACAGATTGCTTGACGATACACGAAGACGATGTGGATAAGGTGTATGGATACAATTTTTGTCGCGTGTGGAGAGAGGGACTGCTTAAATTTGGAACTGACATCGGCACGTGGAGACTGGAAGAGAAGAAAACAATTACACTGCCTACGCAGTTATACACATACAAGTTTAATGAAGTGCCGGAAATCCCGAAAATTAGTAATATCAAAGTTGAAGTTAAGGACGAGTGGGATACTCGCCCGATATGCCAACAAATCGTAAAACGAAATCCTTGTTTAATCCGCGCTCGTTTCGCGGGCAGTGGCAAAAGTTATATAGGCGAATACTTCCAAAAACTGGGTTATAATGTTTTGTTTGTAGTCCCGACCAACAGACTTTTACAAGAGAAGGAAGTAGAAGCAACAACATATAACAAGTTTTTCAGCATTGCGGTTCATGAAGATGTCGGGGAGAAACTGCCACAGTTTGATTACAGCAATTACGACATAATCGTTTTTGATGAAATCTATATGTCAAACCTGTATGTTTTAGATAGAGTCAGGCAGTTTATTAAGAATAACCCCGATAAAATCGTCGTAGTAGCGACAGGCGATGTTAAACAATTACAAGGAGTGGAAGTAATGACGAACTGCCAGAACCCAGCAACACATATTGATAACTGCTTGGATATAATATTTAAATGCAACATCTTCTTGACCGTCTGTAAAAGAGTAGGAGCGAAGGACAGCGAGGAAGGAGAAAGAAACAGGGCAATCATTAATAACATGTATAACGACTTTTGGGAGAACGTGTTGCCGATTGAGGACATCATACCGAAATAATTTGAAACGACGGACGACATCATGGCATCCGAGCATAACATCGCCTATACAAACATGAGATGCCGAAATGTAGCAAATGAAGTCAGGGACAAATTAAACAAAAAAGACAAATACGAAGTAGGCGAAATACTGATAGCCAGAAAATGGATTAAACAACCAAGGGTAAATGTAAATCTACGGTATAAAATTACGAACATATTGCAAGATGACTCGGAGCACAAATAACATTACAGAACATAGCACATACCGATGATGAGTTTATGCTGTTTGAACCTATTGTAGGTGCCACCTGTCATTCAAGTCAAGGGGCAAGTGTAAAGGGAAGTATGACTATACACGAATACGACTTACCAATAGCAAGCAGGGAGTGGGTTTGGACGAGTATTACTCGCTGCGTTGATTTTAGAAAAGTGAAGTTTTACAAGAATAACGATTATGAGAAACAAATGACTAAAAACATGATTATGAGACAGTTTAAAAAGCAAAGTGGAAAATGACAAACTACAAGACAGGAAAGCAGGGAGAGAGATAAACGAAGAAGAATACATAACCCCCGAATGGTGTTTGAAAATGTTTAAAAGCAGGTGCGAGAAATGTAATACATCGTTTAATTTTGAAACCAAACAAGGCAAATTGTGTAGCAACTTTACGGCCCAACGACTATGTAATGATTACGGACATCATTTAGACAATTGTTGTGCTTATTGCTTTTATTGCAATGTAAGTGCCCATTAAATAATAAAATATATTGTTATGTATATGAGTTCAAATAAACAAAAATCATTAATGATATTTATTATGACCGCTCGGGATTTGGTAGTAGGGCGACTACGCTTAAAGATGCCCGAGAGAAAGACAAAAGCATCACGAAAGAGAATGTTGAAGAATTCTTTAAGAAAAATGTTGAAGAGAAAAGACGCCCGAGAGGTGAGAATAGTTTTGTAGCACCTCACGCGTATTTTGAATTCCAGTTGGATTTGTTCTTTATAAGTAAGCACGATGTAGAGAACCAGAAGTTTAGCATAGGTATGGTTTTAATTGATATTTTTAGTAAGTATGCTACCGTCATACCTATTAAGAGCAAGGAAGCACCGGACATAATAGCGGGGATAATGGAAGGGATACAAAAAATGGGCGGAAAACCGAAGATGTTTTACGCAGACGAAGAACCGAGTTTGTATAGCAACCCAGTTATGGAGTATTTGGAAAAGGAGAAAATAGAAATACATAGAACGCGAGGACATCCAGCTTTTGCTGAGAGATTTATAAGAACGTATAAAGATATGCTATTCAAGCGGGTTGAAAATGATGAGAAAAAGGGTGAGCAAAACAAACAGTGGATAGATTATAATTTGGAGATATTATTAACATATAACAATAAAAATGTTTCGTCGCGACTAAAATGACGCCCATAGAGGCGTGGAAAAAGAAAAATGAATTTGTTGTTAAATTAAACATATCTATGCAAGCGAAAAGAAGTAGGGTGTATCCCGAAATAGAGGTGGGGGACGATGTTAAGGTGATGCGGAAAAAAGGCATCAGCGAAAAGGAGAAAACTTCGCATTGGGTGAAAACCCCGCAGACCGTTAGAAACATAGAGAAAAAGTTAGGTCAAAAGTCTTATTATTTGGGTAATGATACTCGGGGGTATTTACGCCATGAGCTCTTAAAGGTGTAGTTTTCGTGCATGGGGCGAGCATCGTCGGACTTTGTTATAGTTTCCAACCTAGTGTAAGGCTATTAAGCGCTTTGGGCTGTAGTATTTTAGCAGCAGATTATACTCTTGCTTGATTGAAAGCAAGTTCCCTCATGCAGATTCCATGCTGTTTCGATGATGACCATGCTGAAGCATACGGCTCAGGGACGTTTTGGACTTGGGTCGTTTTCCGGATGCTTTCGCACGTGTATGTTTCAAGCGTGTTCATAGTTCGCCCGCTGTGGCCAGCACGGTTTGTGTCTTTAGTCAGGTGTTCGCAAACCGGTTTTAGTGGTTGACAATACATACGCTTCCCACTAGCCATGGCACGGAGGTTGTCATCAATCTGTTCGTTCGCGCTCTTGCGATTGTGGATTTTGGCTACGTTGACGGGGTTCTCGACGAAGAATGTGTTGCCGCATGTCTTTATTCAGGTCCACAAGAATCAGCGATTCCCAAGGCACTTGGTCCAGAGGCATGCCTCTGCTCCAGGGCCACCTTCTCCCGATGCCATCACCGGTTTGCTTGGCAGCATGGTTACCCAGAAAGATGGACAAATGAGGGAGCAGCTTGCCAAAGCGGTGTCGGCGGTCTTGAAGGCGCAGAGACCTAAAGACCATTGCATTTCCCGAAGCCTTAAGCCCCACTTCTCCGCACTTTTCGCCCGCGGTTACAGTGGAGCTTTAAAAGCATCAGCCCCAAAACCACAACGCCTGAGGCCCAGAAGCAGGTCGCGGAGGCGGAGGCCCGGAAGCAGGTCGCGGAGGCGGAGGCCCAGAAGCAGGTCGCGGAGGCCCAGAGGCAGGTCGTTGAGGCCGGAAAATGCTGTAAGGTGCAGACTTGCAGGTGTAGTCGTATATTCTTGTTTTTTGATGTGCAGCGCACATAGTCACATAGCTGCTGCCTGTGCTATTAGGGCTTAACTCGAGCCTTCATACCCCAACTACGTAGATGTGCCGCAGCCTCGCACCCAACGTCTAAATTCCCACCGGAGCATTCCTTCATAGAGTGCAATGCTTAGACCGAGAAAAAGATGGTGGAAAACGAGCGTGATATCGCGGAAGACAACCTCTTGGCAGTCAAGGGCGAGCTCACTGCAAGGCACATGCTGGAGCGATTCGCAGCCAAGGTTAGGGGAGAGGAGAACCGTTCCGCAGATGAGCCAACCACAGCTACGTTGAGAACTTTGCAACAGTACCGGATCAGCAAAACAGCTCAAACGATGCAGTCCATAGTCGCCAACTGTTTCAAAATCGATGCTTCTCGTAGCAGCTCGATGCTTGTGGATTTGTACAGGGCGCTGTCAATGCATCGTGGACGGGGCCGGGCATCATGCTCAGCTCAAAATTGAATGACGCCCAAAAGTGTGTCATTCTCAAGCACGCGAAACAGGTTGGGAAACGTGATGTCAGTGTCCCCTTCGATGATTTGGAAGCCGAAGAGGAAACGGCCTCCGAGCCTTGAGACATCTGAGAGCTTGCCATGCAAAAGAAAGGGCCGGTTCAGAGGATCTCATTAGGATATTGGTTATTTTATGGATAAGGTTGAAGATTGCTTAGGCGCTTCGTGTTTTGGATCTTAGTTTTGGTGCTGGGTGATGGTTTTGGTTCAAATTGTGTTATGGATTGTTGTATTTATCGGGGGGAGGTGCTTCGTGTGTTGCGGGTTTAAAGGGTTGATTTATTAGGCGGGTTGAGAAATGGGGTGAACGTGTAGGGGGGGTGGGGATGTGAGGTGTGGGGTAAGGAGGTTCTTTCGTTTTGTTGCTTCGGGGTTTTGTGCTGAGTTGGTAGGTGCTTCGTGTTTCGGGTTGCATTATGGGTTTCTGGGGAGTTTTGGGAAGTGCTTTGTGTTTTGGTCTTTGGAGGGTTGAGGTGTGCGGGAATGAGGTTCTTTCGGAAATTGTTTGTTTTGGGGTTCGGTGTTGAGTTGGTAGGTGCTTTGTGTTTTGGGTTGTGTTATGGGTTTTGGGAGGAGGTTTTGGGAATTGCTTTGTGTTTTGGGTGGTGTTATGGGTTTGGGGGAGGTTTTGGGAAGTGCTTTGTGTTTTGGTGTTTGGGAGGGTTGATTTATTGGGCGGTTAGAGAATTGGGTTGAAAGCGTAGGGCGGGGGTCGGGATGTGAGGTGTGGGATTGTGGCAAGGTGGTGGATGTAGGTAGTGGTTTTGGTTTGGGTTGTATCAGGAAGGTCGGTTTATTTGGTGGTTAGAGAATTGGGGTCAAAGCATAGGGGGGGAGTATAGGATGTGAGGTGTGGGGTTAGCCTATGCTTGCTCTTGGACCAGGCAGGGGGAGGCAGGTATAGGCAGTTTGCAATTCGCTTAGCTTTTGTCAGAGACTGTCAGCTCGGGAAGATTGGCCTCCTGTTGCGAAAGTCAAAGCTGTCACCGGTGGGACAATTTGTCTGTAGACTTTGCTTTCTGGGGACTCGTGCAAGGGGAGGTAATGTCACAGCCACTTCGTGCAAGGAGGCAAAGATCGTGCTTTCAACGCCGTATTCCACCGGTGCTGCAGTGCTTTCACTTGCCAGACTCTCAGATGCTCGTCACCAGGGCATCAACCTTGTCGTACACATGTCAAACTGGCAGTGGCCGAAGCACCGTCACCAGTGATGCATGTCAACTTGTTACCTTCTTTTGAAATGGCCGGATCGCACCTTTGAATGTGCTGAGACATATGCCCTCGCCTCCGTCTCGGGCGCTCACTTCAACCCCGCAGTCACCTTGGCAGTCGGATTCCCAGCATTGGCAGTTTCAACGTCGTGGAGCGAGGGGAATTCTGCTCGTGCCGGCTTGGCGTTGCTCTCAATGTCCCGGCCATGATTTCTCTTCTGGCTTGGGCTTCTCTGTGCAGCCAGAAGACTGGTGCTGGATCAACAGGGTGCCGTAGCCAACGGCTTTGAGTTTTTGCGGTGCAGCATAATTTGGTTGGGAGTGGCTCGCCCTAAATACCGAAGCGAGCATGAAAGAGTTGGGGGCGCAAGGTCTTTATGTGGCCTTTGGATAAAAACGCTTCGAAGGCAGATCGGTCTGTCATTTCCGGGCTCGAATGTTACGGCAACAGCGTGCTATGCACTAGCTGTGCTGTCACGGACTTGGAAGTCTCGCCCGAGGTGATGTTCACTAGCCGAGACCCTTATGTGTGGGCCGAGGTTGGATGCTTCACCTGCACAACTGCAAAAGGTTTGCTGCTAATCGCGCTCACCTGCTATATGGCCAGGGACCGACGCTCATACTTGCGCAAGCTTCTGGTGCTGTGGCCGCTGCACTTACGTGCCCAGGCATGTCTCTTCATGCCATCCGCACGGCTCTTCTAAACCAGTTGTAGCACCCACTCGTAGAGTGCATCGTCGACCTCTTCGCCGCAGCAGCCAGGTACCTTTTCGTGAGCCGAGGGCAAGCTAAGGCAAGACTGCAGAGTTCCCTGCGTGGTTCGCATGATTGAACGATGCACAGGTGGTGCCACAGCATTTGCCCCATCTTGGACCTGGCACAGATTTCTCGTGGTCATGGCCTAAGCCTGAAGTGCGGTAAGTTCTCTAAGTCTTACTTACGCCATCAGCTTGCGGAGCATCGCTCTCTGTCACTCTCACTCTCACTTTCTCTCTTTCTTAAGTGGCCCACGATGTGTATCCTAAGTCCTCATTCTTACAAGAAGGTTTGAACCGACCCCAGCTTGTCGTTAGCTTGATACATGTATTACCTGCTTCTACTTTGTGCCGGAAGGTGGTCCCATATCTTGGTGGGGCATAACTATGTTCAGTATCATCCGTGCCGGTTATTTCATGTGATGAGAGGTTTTCGGTGATGCAGAAGCAGTGGTCAGAATCAGGCATGCTGCAAGCAATCGCGGTTATTGTTGGGATCGTGTGCCGGGGAAGGAAAGTTGAGGCCGCCATTGACCTGTGGCCACAGTCCCCCTCGTCGGAAGGGTGTGGCGACTTAACGCAAGCAACGTTTGCAGGGAGAAGCTGTCAGATCTAAGCTGTTGAGGCATCCGCTGGCTGGGGTCGCTTAACACCGAGAAGTGAACTCTTGTCATTAAACTTGCAGCAAAGTTTTGTCACGGCTCATGCGTTCAGTCTTGTCCTTGAACATAATGCAGCGCCTCTTGTCAACGATGCAGAAGCTGGCACCTAGGCATGCTGTCAACCTGGCCGAGATGCTTTTCACCCTTGCTTCCCCCTGAGCTCCTCCAACATTCGCTGTTCGGAGCAGCCTGCAGCAGAAATCACACAGGCGCTCGCCTATGTTGTCCTCTGCGTGACGACGATCAAGAGCCCGAGGCTGACATGACGCTCAAGATTGCAAGGGAAAGTAGTTGCAAACAAGCGAAGTTCCGTACACTGCGCACATGCGAGAACATGAAGAAGCAAGCGCTGCAGTATGTTCGTAGGATACAGACCGCAGATGGTGAGGTCTAGCGCGTTGAACCATGGCACGTGTGTCATCGCAGCAGGTATCCGAAAGCGACTTCCATTGCCAACTTCGATTTCGCCACTCGTCTGCAATGCCTCGGGCCATCTGGTGATCTAGAGTCTGGAACTGGGATTCGTGGCTTCCAGGGACTTGCGATCGGCTTCACTTTCATGGCTGGAGCCTGGCCCTGAGTTCTGAGAAAGCACAAGGAATGCACAAGGTATCTAAACTGTTTTAAGGATTGCTTTTGCAAAGTGCTGAGAAAAGGAGCCAGAAGGACTGCGTAGGTATCTGCATAACAGCCACGACGAGCTTGCGTAACCGTTGATTTCGAATGCGGCAATCGGATTTCCAGTGCGTGAGCTTCAACCGTAGGCCATCTTTTGGCAGTGGGGCCTGTTGGATTTGATTATTTGGCTTGACAGCGACAGGCATCTGGACGGGCCTAGAGTTCCAGGTCTTGACAGCAACGCATGCACACCACAGATTTTTCCGGCATGCATCAACGGTCTTCTTGCGAAGCACAGGAAGCACATGCTGTTCTGTCTGACACCAGCACATCGTAATATCGCTTCCTGCGTATTTCGCAAAACCGAAATGGTCGCTAAATTGGGCCGAACATGAGTGCCTCGACATGTTTGTAGCCGAACGTAGCTTTCACCTGCGTTGTGGTGATCCCATTGCATAAAGCTTACAGAGCGATTTGTCGGACCCAACCTGGCCTCGCAAATGCTTTCCATGCCCGCAGAAGAGGGTGCAGACTGAAGCAGCCCTACCAAAATCCCGGCATTTCTTGGCATGGCACCAGCAATTTGACATCCAAGAGCATGCTGCTGCATATCACCGCAGGTTATGCACTAACGTGCCATGAAATTTGTTTCACATGTTTCATCGACTTTAGCAAGACTTTATCGGTCCGCGGCAGGGCTGGGTCACCCAGTGGGTCTCTGGAGGAATGCTGAATCCCGCTGCTCGTAGCCCAGATCCGTGTCTTGCTTCAACAGTGTCTCCCCAAAGTTCAAAGTCAAGCTGAGGTATCCCTTGGAGTGGCGGCTGCCGATCTGTTGTCAAACGGCAGCGACAGTCTTTCGCCCTTGACTCAGCACTTGGAGCAGAGCCGCGGCTGACAAGACCAACCAAGCTTCCAGATAATGTGAGGACGGAGGCCATTACCAAGATGGCCAACGCTCTCTTGGTGCAGTATGTTGCCTGGCAGTGTGCAGGAGGCATCATCTCGGCGTTTCTACCCGGCTTAGATCAGCTTAGATATTTGTTTCCACGCTGAGACTGCGGCAGCAGGATGTAGGAGTGGCAACTTCACAATTCACTGCGGCAGGTGTGCTGGCGGCGTTTCTGTTTTGGTTGGTTCATCCTTTGCTTTACAAGCAGGAGTCGCCAGAACAGACTTCGCATGTTGCCGCGTGTTTACTGCCCTGTACTGCTTTGTCCTGTTCCTGGGCAGGATCCATTGCTGGTCAAGTGATGTGCGACTCCTGAGAGCTCGGGAGCACAAATGGATGAGCTACAGCTACTGGTCTGTTTCACGAGGAGGGACTCTGCTAGTGATCACGTATGCTTTCAAAACTGGACACTAATCGGGCCGGCAGTTGCCATCATGTGTTCTAGCTTCAGCCTGAGGTACGTGAGTGTCGCCGCCTGTAAAAGACGGTGCGACAGGTAGCCGATGCCGTGGGCTCAAGCAGCAAGGAACTTGGGATGAGGGCCACCCAGTTCCTGCAGGTCTGCACCAGGACCACAGCTTATAATGCCAGTGGATTCTTGGAAGCAGTATGCAGCCGAAAGGAAGGAGACGATTTCTGTTGGCATAGCCTGTGCTGGGGCAAGCTTGCATCTCAGGAAGGAACAGTGAATTCATCGCGCTGGCAGAACGGGCACGACCTTGCACCATTTTCTACAACACCACTCTGGCAGCTGCCAAGGAGAATCATGAGTGGGACTTGGCGTTGTATTTGTTTGCAACATCGGCGGAAAGACGACTTACATCAGATGTCGTGTCTCTGAATACTTGCATGAGTGCTTGCGCAAAGGGCATGTTCTGGGAGAAAGCCGTCAGCCTATTGCATGATGCTGGGCGGCACGGGCTGCAGCCTGACACCATATCACTTAATACCTGCATTAGCGCATGTTCGCGAGCTTTGCTGTGGCAGAAGGCCCTCGCCATTTTTTCCTTGTTCGGTCCTTCAAGACTGCAGCCTTCAGAGGTGTCGCATTGTGCCTTAATCACCATTTTTGAGAAAGCCACTGCTTGGGAAAAGGCTCTGTCATGCTTCAAAGACCGGATGCAAACAGACGGTGGCATTTCTGTAGTAACAGTCAATAGCACAATTGCCGCCTGCGACCAGGGCCACCGATGGGACATGGCATTGGCCATTTTCCATCGTGGTCGCCAACAGACGTTGGTCAATTTGGTGACATACAACTCCACAATGAGTGCCTGCTCCCGGGCTAGCCAATGGACACATGTGCTGGACTTGCTCAAGTTACTGCGGCTTCAGCGTCTTCGCATGGACCAACGCAGCCTCAATTCAGCAGTGAGTGCGTGCGAGCGGGCTCGAATTTGGCAAGTGGCTGGGAAGGTGCTGTCTGATGCATCTGCTGCTGGGCTGTCGCCTGATGTGTTCACGTACACATCCATGATTACAGCTTGTTCTGATCATCAGCACTGGCTAGAAGCAGTACGGACATTCCGGAACATGGGGAAGCTGTCGATTTCGCCCAACAGCCACACCTACAACTCTCTGATTGATGCGTGTGGGAAAGGGCAACAGTGGGAGATGGCGGTAGGTTTTTTGCAGGAGATGATCAAGGATGGCATAGATACCAATGCGGTCACGGTGAGCTCAATAGCTACAGCATGTCAGGAAGGACGGGAGTGGGAGCTGGCTTTGGTGATGATGCAGGAGATCTACAGCTCCCATGTCCAACAAGACAACATCGTTGCCATAAACTCGGGCCTTGGCGCGTACGCAAAGGGATGGCAGTGGGAATTCGTGCTTATCCTTCTTGAAGACTTCCAGCTTCGTGGGCTCAGACTGGACACTGTTTCCTTCAACACTGGGCTGCATGCGTGTCAGAAAAGCTACGAGTGGGCCCAGGCCTTGGCACTTTTCGATCACATGCTGGTGAGTGCCACGCAGCCGGACATCATTTCAGGCTGGGGAGTGATGGTTTCCAGAACAAGCCAGGAGTTCACAGAAGGACCTGTTGCAACTTCACTTCCCGGTCGCCCATTCTGCTCATCTCTGGCGGCTCGTATTTTGTGTTGACATTTGGTGTCCGACTCATTCTAGGGTCTTGGTTCCATCATGAGGTACTACTCTATTGGTACAATTCTTTTGGTGAAAGTGTAGCTTGGTTAAACTACTACTCGCTGAGAACCTTTTGCCATGTCGACAAGGACCTCTCGCATTCAATGGTTGAATGTCGCCCAAGATTGCGACTCGTAAACGGGAAGCAACCATGCTAGACTGATCAGCATCTACATTCAGGATGCATCTGCCCGTGCATGTGCGCGCCTATTCGACGAGCGTGTCTCTTTAATTTCTTCGAGAGTTTCACGACCACTATAACCCGATAAGTTAGCAGCTGTCTTTGAGATCACAATCCTGCCATATCACGAAGCGGGGGGGCACCGGAACCGGACGGTCCGAGCTTGAAAGCAACTCGTTATCTTGGTTATCAAGCACACTAAGTACACCCTTTCCTTGCACAGGCAATGTCGTCGTGAGTGCCTGCGAGAAGGGTCAGAAGTGGGATAAAGCAATTTCTTTCTTTGAGTCGATGGGACCGGTCCACGGCTTTCGGCCAGGAGTTGTTGCATACAGCGCCAGCATCACTGCATTGTCGCATGGCCACAAGTGGAAGCATGCATGTGAGAAGTTGGCTGACATGGTACTCAGCAGACTGCAGCCGAATGTCACCACGTATTCGTCGCTTATCACAGCGCTGGAACTTGGACAGCAATGGCAGAAGGCAATGCTGGTCTTTGAAGCTATGGCGTTGGAGCCGGACGAGGCATGTCTGAATGCAAGCATAAAGGCTGCTGCAACGGGCTCCCACTGGAGAGGTATTTGTCACTTTTTACAGCAGTTCGATGAGCGAGGATTACGGCTTGATGCCAGGACTTTTGCCAGTAGCATTGCCGGGCTGGCACGGGTTGGGCGATGGCAACATGCAGTTCACTGTCTTGAGAGATGTTTACTGGAGGTGGACCCAATGCGTTTGGAGTTTGCGGCGCCTCTTAATGCGGCACTCTTCGGGCTCTCAAAACAGTGGCTCTGGCAAAGGGTGCTTTCTCTGCTTGCATCCGCCGAATGCAGAGCACATCAGCGAGTCTCATCAGAAATTCAGCTTGCCTTGTCAAAGGGAGGTCGTTCAATTGAGACGCCCGGTTGGCAACCTCACTTCGATGCAGCACATCGTACATTCCGCACCTTCTTCAACAAGCTTGCGCAAGGTAACATTCCCAAGCTGGAATATGACAACGCTATGATTGCGTTCGAGAGCAGTCCGGAGGGTTGTCGCACAATCCGTGAGGAATTGAATCGGAAGGGATTCACTTTGCACGTAATGTTGAACTGACCGAGCGAGCATTAAGCAACCGAGGGGGAGAAACTATGCACAGCAGTTGGAATCACTGCTTTCCGTGGATTTGCTTTGCTGTCTGACTCGTACATGAGATCTTGATCTGGGATGAAGTACTTCGGCATACACTCACTGATACTTATGAAACTCGCGCGGACATATCTTTTGGGTTGGATTCTATTCTTGTGCAGGTTTACCATGTATAAAGAGTGAAAGGTTCTGTTAGTTTGCTGACTTTAATGCGGTAAGGGTTGATGCTAGGCCCTAGGTATACTTTCGAGATTTGTTCTCTTTGATTGTCAGGGGTAACGATTATGATTATGTGTTAGATCGCAACTGATACAGGCCCGAAAGCCGCGTTTCTGTGGCTCTTTGTAATGGGGCACTAGACAACGATACCTTTAAGATCAGGAAGATAGGGATAATATATTTTAGTAATGATTTGAAGAATATCCTGATTATAGAGAAGAAATCTTATTTAGGGGCTGCGCCCAGGTGCGGGCAGCGCCCGCTGCGAGCTGTTGTCAGAAACCCGCGGTATATAGATAAGTGCAACGTAGGCCCGAAGTGCGCAACTTGTAGGTGATCGTAGGCTCTCAGCCCCCGTCGGCTCTGCATGTAGCCCGCACCCCCCGTCCGCCGGACCCCGCTGATGCTCACGATGCGCAGCCTTTGGCGGCTTCCGTAACCCACTCAAAAATTTGGGAGTTATGTTTTCGCGCCGCTGGCGTCGGTTGCGGGCGCCCGAGGGTTCATAATGCTCGCCGGCTCGCCTCCTGGGGTCGTCCACGGCGGCCCCGAAACCCGCCACACCGCGGGGAATGGCTGCAAAACGCGCGCGCGTTCCGAGACGCCTTCGGGCTAGGCTCCGCGCGGCCCGAGGGAGAAATGAGGGTCCGATGATGCGGGGTCCGGGGCGGGTCGGCGGCACTGTCGGTTGTGGTTTCTGCTTCGCAGACGAAGCTCATTCGCCTGAGCCATAGCTCAATCCATACAGGGCAGAGAAGCGCTGCCCGATTTATGGGCTGCCGCCACTGCCGCCGACCCCAAAAGAAGAGAGGTGACTATCCAAGGAAGGCAGCAGGTGTTGAAAGCAGCCAACCCTGATACAAAGGAAAAGACATGAAATAATAAGATAGGGCCTGCAAGTCTTGTAACTGGCACGAGTAGCATAAGCACGGTGGGGGCGGTGGCTGGGCGTGGTGGAGGCGGTTAGGGCGGTGAGGGCTGTGGGCCGGGCACATATTGGCAGCCTTGAAATACTCTTTAAACACCTACAAATACAGCGGGCGGTGAGAGCTGTGAGAGGGGTGAAGACGGTGGGGGCGGTGAAAGGGATGGAGATGAAGGCGGTGTGGGGCGGGGGGGTTCGGGCAGTGGCAGCAATGGAGATGGTGGGGTGGTGAAAAAACGGTTGGGGCGGTGGATGGGAGTGGTGGAGGTGGTGAGGGCGGTGAGGGCGGTGTGGGTGGTGAGGCTGGTGAGGGCGGTGGGGGCGGGGGGGGCGGGGGCCAGGGTCCGGGCACATATTGGCAGCCTTTCAAGACTCTTTCGATACCTACAAACACAGCCGTTAACTCCCCTGACAGACCACTGGGCGGCCGGAAGCGAAGCGGCCGGCGAGAGAGGTGGTGGCGGTGGCAATTTTGGGGATGGCGGGGGTGGTGAAAATGGTGAGGGGGGTGGCTGGGGCTGGAGGTGGTGAGAGCGGTGTAGGTGGTAAGGACGATGGGGGCGCGAGGGGGGTCCGGGCACACATTGGCAGCTTTTAAATACTAAACACCTACAAATACAGCGGTTAATTTCTTTGACAGCACACTGGGGGTGGCGTCAGTGCTGGAGGTGGTGAGAGGGGTGAGGGGTGAAAGCTGTGAGGGCGGTGAAGATGGTACGAGCGCAGTGGAGGTGGTGGCAGTAATGGAGATGATGGGGGTAGTGAAAATGGTGGGGGTGAGGGAGGTGAGGAGGGTGGGGCGACGGGCGCGCGAGGGGGTCCGGGCCTGCATTGGCAGCCTTTAAATACTCTTTATTTTTTAAACACCTAGAAATACAATGGGCGGTGAGAGCGATAAAAATGGTGAAAGTGGTGGAGGCACAGTGCATAATGGAGATGGTGGGGGTGGGGGCGGTGGACGAAGGTGGTTGGGGGTGGAGGGTGGTGGGGGCGCAGGGGGGGGTCCGGGCACACATTAAATATTCTTAAAGAGTATTAACTCTTCAGATACCTATAAATACAGCGGGCGGTGAGAGTTATGAGAGTGGTGGAGACGGTGGATGAAGGTGGTGGGGGCACCGGGGGGGGGGGCACACATTGGTAGCCTTCAAACTCTTTAAACACCTATAAATATAGCGGTTAATTCTCTTGATAGAACACTGGGGGTGGTGGAGGTGGTGAGGGCGGTGAGAGCTGCGAGGGCGCCGGAAGCGAAGGGGGCAATGAGAGCGGTCCGGGCACAGTGGAAGTGGTGGTGGTAATGGATATGGTGGAGGTGGTGCGAAGGGGGGGGGGGCTGGGGGTCCGGGCACTTATTGACAGCCTTTAAATATTCTTTAATCACTTACAAATATAGTGGTGAAAGATTTTTTAAATAGAGCGGTGGGGGTAGTCTGGGTGCGGGAGGCGGTGGGGACGCGGGGGGGGGTCCGGGCTTATATTGGCAGCTCTTAAATACTCTTTAAGCATCTACAAATATAGTGGTGAAGGACTCTTTAAATGGGTACATTTGGCCGCCTGTAAATACGGTCGAACCTTTTAATAAGAAATTGGTATGGGTTGGGCTAGACCCCGAATATTTTTAATTCGGAGATTTCTATAATAAGTTGTTTGAGGTTGGCACGCATCCCAAAGATCAACGGCGCGTTATTTTGGGTCTAAATGCACGTTCTCTCCCAAAAATACGCGCCGTCGAACGGCTCAAATTAGAGGCTTTGGGGGGCACCCGGCCGGGCTACGGAGGGGAGGATTTTGTTTGGGGCGGAGCTGGAAGGGTGAAACACACCAGATGCAACACTCCTGGATGACGTTTGTTTCATATATCACTTGCATGTATCTATGCCTGTTGCGCAAGGTTTTAGGACCCTGGATAAGAAATAATAAAACAATCAGGGTCTCATTTCTTGCTCCCAACGATTTCTTAATGAATGCGCTTTCCGTATTCTTTAAACACCTATACATACAGCGGTGAAAGATTCTTTGAACAGAGCGGTGGAAGCGGTGTAGGGGTGGTGGTGAGGGCGGTGAGGGCGGTCGGGGGGGTCCGGGCACATATTGGCAGCCTTTAAATACTCTTTAAATACCTATACAGCGGTTAACTTCCCTAACAGCACACTGGGGGTGGCGGCAGTGCTGGAGGTGGTGAGGGGGGTGAGGGGTGAAAGCTGGGAGGGCGGTGAAGGCGGTGAAAGCGGTGCGAGCACAGGTGGTGGCAGTAATGGAGATGGTGGGGGTAGTCAAAACGGTGGGGGCGGTAGCTGGGGGTGGTGGAGGTGGTGAGGGCGGTGGGGGTCCGGGCACACATTGGCAGCCTTTAAATACTCTTTACTCTTTAAACACCTACAAATACAGCGGGCGGTGAGAGCTGTGAGAGCGATAAAAACGGTGAAAGCGGTGGAGGTACAGTGCATAATGGAGATGGTGGGGGTGGGGGCGGTGGATGAAGGTGGTGGGGGTGGAGGGCGGTGTGGGGGGTGAGGGCGGTGGGGGCCCGGGGGGGGTCCGGGCACACATTGGCAGCCTTTAAATACTCTGTATTTTTTAAACACTTACAAATATAGCGGGCTGTGAGAGCGATAGAAACGGTCAAAGCGGTGGAGGCACAGTTCATAATGGAGATGGTTGGGGTGAGGGCACATATTGGCAGCCTTTAAATTTTCTTTAAACACCTACAAATACAGCGGTTAACTCCCCGTGACAGAACACTGGGGGTGGTGGCAGTGGTGGAAGTATAGTGCGGGTGGCGAGGGCGGTGAGAGCTGTGAGGGCGTTGGAGGCGCGGGGGGTGGAGGCAAGCGGCAGGAGTGAGATGGTGGGGTGGTGAGAAAACGGGTGGGGGCGGTGGATGGGGGTGGTGGCGGTGGTGAGGGCGGTGTGGATGGTGAGAGTGGTGGGGGCGCGGGGGGGTCCGGGCACACATTGGCAGCCTTTCAATATTCTTACAAATATAGCCGTTAACTCCCCTGACAGACCACTGGGGGGCGGTGGCAATTTTGGGGATGGCGGGGGTGGTGAAAACGGTGAGGGGGGTGGCTGGGGGGGCTGGAGGTGGTGAGAGCGGTGTAGGCGGTAAGGGCGGTGGGGGCGCGAAGGGGTCCGGGCACACATTGGCAGCTTTTAAATAATCTTTAAACACCTACAAATACAGCGGTTAACTTCCCTGACAGCACACTGGGGGTGGCGGTAGTGCTGGAGGTGGTGAGGGGGGTGAGGGGTGAAAGCTGTGAGGGCGGTGGAAGCGGTGAAAGCGATGCGAGCACAGTGGAGGTGGTGGCAGTAATGGAGATGGTGGGGGTACTGAAAACGGTGGGGGCGGTGGCTGGGGGTGTTGGAGGTGGTGGAGGTGGCGAGGGCGGTGAGGGCGGTGTGGGTGGTGAGGGCGGTGGAGGCGGTGGGGGTGCGGGGGGGTCCGGGCACAAAATGGCAGCCTTTCAAGATACTTTCGACACTTGCAAACACAGCCGTAAACTCTCTTGACAGACCACTGGGGGTGGTGGGGATGGTGAAAGCGGTGAGAGCTGTGAGGGCGGCGGAAGCGGTGGGGACGGTGAAAGCGGTGCGGGCACAGTCGAGGTAGTGGCGGTGGCAATTTTGGGGATGGCGGGGGTGGTGAAAACGGTGAGGGGGGTGGCTGGGGGTGGAGGTGGTGAGAGCGGTGTAGGCAGTAAGGGCGGTGGGGGCGCGAGGGGGTCCGGGCACACATTGGCAGCCTTTTAATACTCTTTAAACACCTACAAATACAGCGGTTAAGTTCCCTGACAGCACATTGGGGGTGGCGGCAGTG